AATTCTTAAACTTAATGGCGACCATGGAAAATATAATAATCATTCTATCATGGTATTAATTTTCTTATTTATTTTGATAATTTTTAGAATGGATATAATTATAAAAAAAAATTATCTAAGTACAAAAAACATAATTTTAAAAGTTAGCGTTTTAATAATATTTCATTGATTATTATTTTTTTTTTTTTTTTTTTTTGAAACGATAGAGACTTTTACAACACCTCAACAGAGAACAAAGTGTTGATTTCTAAAAAATGACCAAAAATATGTTCGAACTGTATACTGAAATGTATACTCGGTTCGGTCTGCACGAATAGGATTTTGTATGTATTCGGTGTGAGATTTTGTTCGATTGTAAGCTCTACTCGTGACTTTTATAGCATTAATGAGAGCATTTATTCATTGCATTTAATGTCGCCTCTTGCTCCTTATATAGGAAGTGTGAAGACTTTATTACACCATTTTCAGGTTTCCTTTTCCATTTTTACTTTACAAGATATTCACAAGATATTTAGTCACACCACATTTTCAAAATTAGTACCAAAGCTAGAGTAAGATAGTGTCGATATTGTGTTGTTCTAGTAAAAGGTATCGGGTATTTAGTACCAACTCCCACGAAAAAAAAAAATGATTTTTTTAAAGGAGTACTAGTTTTACATCGAATAATACCACTTCTTCTTTTCCGTACCAGATATTGGTCAATTCGTACCTACCTTTGGTCAACAAAAATTAGATTATTTCAATTGTAGTCAACATTTACAATAAGTAGTACCAGACCTAGAGTACAGTAGTACCACATTTTCTTTCTATTCGTACCCGTTTTGATGTCTTTAGTACCACTTGTAGTGAACACATAGGAACACCGGATATCGGTCGAAAATGATGTTTATACGACCCATAATCATCATACATGACTACTCCAATTTCCACCTATATGTTTAAAATTCCACTATTTTTCATCCAAATCACGCGTTAACGATCCACATCACATGATAGACATGAAGGATTAGAAATATCACGATTCTTACAATAGTACCTGATTTACGCATAATAGTACCACAATGTCTTATACTTAGTACCTGTTTTTAGTAGATCAGTACCTACTTTTGTTACGGATAATTGATTTTTTCAATTGTGGTCAACATTTTAAAAAGTAGTACCAGTCATAGTGTAATATAGTACCTGTTTATATGGGTTTAGTACTACTTATGGAGTCTTTAGTACCACTTGTACTGAACACATAGGAACACCGAATATCGGTCGAAAATGATGTTTATACAACCCATAATCACTCTCACATTAGTTTATATGAGATTTAAAATGTTTTTCGTTGAGTTTAATCATAAAATGGTCATGAACTCCACACACTAATGAGAAAACACTATTACTACACTTCACTTCATGGAATGAAACACTTCATCTCATAGAATCATCATACATGACTACTCCAATTTCTACCTATATGTTTTAACTTCCACTATTTTTCATCCAAATCACGCGTTAACGATCCACATCACACGGTAGACATTAAATGCATATCGTACGGACTTTATTCTGGTAATGATGGGTGTCGCTCGGCCATGCTACCTATGTCTCGCTCGGTCCTCATCTGTGTTCAGTCCGTTCCGCTGCTTCTTGTCCCGCTGTCCCGAACAGACTTCTAATTAATTTAATTTTCCAGACATTCGGTCTCAACCACGTACAAAGGCCCCCAGGTTCGGTTTATACGGATAGGATAAGACTGATCGTATTTGCCGGAGCTGCTTTATGTAATTCAGTAGAGTCGAATGGTGTGATAAGAATAAATTAAATGTCACTTCATGAAAAGGCGCGCCCCTTCACTTATCTGAGCCGACAGTAACTGTCTCATGCGACGTGTTGTGATTGTATTGGCTAGGCGATATTAATGGCGTACACGAGGTGTTTCATTGCCTCCGCCGCTTCGAATTTGAATCATTCGCACATCAAATGTCTACCTATAAATACCAACTTTCTTCACTTCAAAACTTTTCCTCGCATTCATCTTTCAGAGCTTTCCTGGGTCCTTTGCCAGTCGAGAACGAATAGAACATCCATCCGGTCGTTCCGTGGTGGGTCTTTAATTTTTAGTAAGACAATCTTCCTTTCTTCCGATTTTCTTTTATTTTCTTTCCTTTTATGGCCTATACGAGAGAGTCGTCGCCCTCTCCATCCGGGAGTTACGACGAGGAACAATACGAAGAAGCTCTCCAAAGTGAAACATCCGGCCGCGTGCGGCTTCCTCTTCCCAAAGAAAGTCCGGAGGAGGACCTTAAGATTGAACTGTCTATTAGCGGAGCCCCGGTGGGTTATTGGAGAAGACCGTACGGTCAATGGCTTACATCGAGTGTGTTAACATTGACCATGCTCCCGAGTGAGATGACGGACGACAAAGTGATAAAATTGCGCACTTTTATCCGGCTGCCTAAGGAGATCCGAGTATGCGCTCTCTATCGGAGGGAACGGATTCACTGTCCGCTTCCCGGGTACGTTGGCGCAGCAGAACGGTCGGTTGCATTCGGGTTGCGATTTCCTCTCCCCAAGATTCTTTCCGAATACCTACGCGATTGGGGAATCGGATTTAGCCAAATCTCACTGATCGTGTGGCTGAGGATAATCAGCCTCTTGGTACTTTTTAATGAGCACGGTTGGGAATTCCCCACCTGTGATGATATCAGGGCCTCGTTCATTTTTAGAGAAACCCGAAAAAGGTCGGGGCAGTTTTCCATCTCCGTGCGTGACGCGAAATATCGGGACTTGATCCTCAAGGTGCCCGAGACGATTAGTAAATATAGGAAGTTGTGGTTTTGGGTCGGTCATGGGTGGCAGACTCCTCGATCGAGCAGAGATCCAGATACATCCGAGTTTTTTACCGTTCCCACTAGATTCGTTTCTAAGATGGGTTAGTCCTTTATTAACGATTCATCATTCGGTCGTTTCTTTCTAATCGTGGCTGTTTTCATTTTTACTAACAGGTCGGCTTTCTTATTTCAGCAAGAAGTTCGGTCGTTCCAGATTTGAGTGATACGTTCGTTCAACATCTAGACCAGCTCCTCGGTTTGAGCAGTTCAGAAAGAGAGTGGCCGAAGTTGATTGACGACGCTCGTTTGTCTGCAGCAGGTCTTTGTTCGGACTACATTGAGCTAGCGTGTTCCCCCGGTAAGTTAATGAGTTCATATCGTTTGTTACTGTCAATTACCATCCTCTTATACTGACCCTTGTCACTGAATGGATTTCAGCTTACTATCCATTAATGAACTTTAGAGGTATCGGTTCGGATTCTAGGGCGAAGAAAGTTTCTTTGAAATCCAAATAAAAGCAAGTTGCCTCCGGCTCGAAGAGAACGAAGAAGCAGCAGCAAGAAGACATGGACCTCTTGGCGATGTTGGAAAAAATGAGGGCTGCGGCGAAACCGGTTGCCACCGGGACATCGGCCGAGAAAGAGGTGGAGGTCATCGTATCGTCTGGGGAAGAGGACGATAACCATTTGCAGGATACCCGCAAGAAAGGACGCAAGCGGGCGAGAGGAAGCGGTACCGGACCTATTGAGAAGAAAATGGATTCCTCTACC